TCTCCAAAAAGTACAAATAGCAGTAGCAAGTGCAGTGCTAGTGCAGTAGTATTAGTCTTATACTCACACTTGGCAAAATCGGAATAACACTGAACTTAGCAAATATTTTTCTAAAAATAGCTATGCAAGGTGGCAAAGGTAGTAAATTACCTTTGTTGTTCATTGGGACAGTTGCTATAGTGTAGAAGTATAAGAAAATGTTAGCGACCATTGTATTGCTGGAGGAAACTTTTCATAGTGAGCACTGAAAGCTCCTTTCTTACTACCTCTGAGAGCTTGTCGCTTGTGAATCTTGTTGAGATTATGAACTAATGGGGGGCTTGTGCAGAGAATTGTGAGGCTTTCTTAGTGTTAGTGGTAATAGTGAGCTGGCTTTTAATATGAACATGGTAATGCAAATGCGATTTTAAAGAAAAGTATGAAGCATAAAGATAGGAAAACGGTCAACTGTTTCTTCATGTCTGGAGAAATATGCTTTTCACCGGATACAATGCTTACAGATCCGAAAGAACCTCAGCTAAGGAATCTTACTTGTTAATTACAAATAAGTCCTTAAAGCTTATAAACTCCATTTATATTGGAATGCATTTTGTAATTTCTTCCTTCTATTTCAGAACAATAAATGTTATCATATAACTGGGACTGTTGAGGAAAACTGTGGCTCTGTGGGTTGTGTGTGTTAAAGATGATGTACAAACGCACTTCTCTCAGCTTTCCTCATTTCCAGTTTGGGTATAAAGAGGATGCTTAAAAAAAAAGGAAAAAAGATTTTTAAGAACCCCAACTTTTTAAAAAAACAAAATTAATGGATTCACAACAGTTTACAAAAGGACAAATTTTTACCCTTCAGAGAACTTAAGTGAAAGGTGACAGAAATTTGACTGAAGTTGTTCATGACAGGCAATTGAAAAATTACTCATTTTGACTGTACTAAAGCTGAATACAATACAAAAATACAGATATTCAGTGTCACTTTGCAATCGTTCTTTAAATTACTGAAAGTGTAGAAAGCTGTGTGTTTTGTAACTGTGTTCTGGATCTGTCACAGAATCAGTGGCTTGCTAGCTGCTGCCTTGGTGAACTGTGTTAGACATCTGACTTCACACATGTAGTGGCAGAGTAACCTCAGTATGTTACTGAATTTCACTTGTTTCTAAAATATCTTCCTACTGGTTATATTCTCCACAGGTGTCACCTCTGTTCAGCACACTTAGCCATGACAATATTGTTACTGTTTTAGATTATATGTTACTTGATTATATGATTTCTTAAATATTAAATGTGTGCATGGAACTTCTAGAGTGCTTTCCACACCCTTAATACCTGTGTACACCTGTGTAGGTGTAATGAGTAAGTGCCTTATATTTTCTAGCCATTTATTCTATGGGGAAAAAAATCATGGTCTTGTGCAGAGCCAAAGGGGAAGAGTAAGGTACCTAAAAATCCCTGTTTCTGGTTTACATTTTCATAGACTAGTGTATGTAGTACTTTAGACAACAAACATTAGCGTTATAGTAGGGGGAATTAATTAAGAAATAAGTGCATGCTACTGAGTAGCCACTGAAGTCAAGAAAAGAAAAAGTAACTTTTATTTCCTTTGCTTGTTTTGACAGTTGTTACTCAACCAAGCCCATCAGTTTCTCAGCCTAGTACTTTGCAGAGTGAAGAGAGAGGTCCTGAACTGCCCAAACCAAAGAAGAACAGATGCTTCATGTGCAGAAAGAAGGTTGGCCTTACAGGTATGAGAACACTTCGTCCATTTTGAACAAATCTGTATGATTAGTTGCCTCTTGCTAAATATCTGTAGCCTCTGAACTTTTTTGCTGCTTCAGAACCCAAACAGTTGATATTGTGGTAACGCTCATTTCTGTGTGTCAGAACAGATAAACCTGCCCACTTTATAGTGATTAAGCCCTTAATTTACAACTTAAATATGAAGTGTCCTAGTGATGTTGCTTCTTTTTCTATATACAGGATTTGACTGCCGATGTGGAAACTTGTTTTGTGGACTTCACCGTTACTCTGACAAGCATAACTGCCCGTATGATTACAAAGCAGATGCTGCAGCAAAAATCAGGAAAGAGAATCCAGTAGTGGTGGCTGAGAAAATCCAGAGAATATAAACTAACCTGCTGGCAAAAAGACTGACTGACTTTTTGTGTTAATAAATCCTAGGAAAACATGGAAGAGCAGGTGCATGGCCATTTTCCTTTGATCTTCTCCAAAACTTTACTTTTGGTTCTGTCTGTCTTAATGATATTTCGAAATGTTTGGGTGTTTTGTTACAGAATTGGATAGATACAGCCCTTGAAAATATATATGCCCTCCCCAGAATATATTTGGATGATCAGAAACCTGCATAAGAATACACATGCACAGAGGACAGACTTTCTAGGTCACATGTGCCAAACAAATGTATGCTATCTGCATGTTTTGCAGCAGGTTTGCCTTTTGAGATGTTTGAGGTGTATAATCTTTGGCTAGTGTTACATGCCTGTTTTGAAGATGCATCAAAAAGGTTGGCAGTCTACTTCTGTCATTTAAACTCTCATTCTTATTTTTGTTTTCACACTCCATTGTTGTCCAGCAGAATGTAAGCTGTGTAGAGGAGTCTACCTCCCCAGTAAGATAAAAACTGGTGCCATATTTAAGAAAGTCACTTATTAATTGCATTGAGAAAAATGGAAACAAGTAGCTACCTATGAGAAGAAAACTTTTGGAACACTTAACTTTAGAAGCATGGAAGTAGGTTCCCAAAGGGAATGTCCTGCTACGAACTTACAGACTGTTCTGCAACAGAGTTGTTTCCGTTTCCTTGCATAGCTAAAGATGTTGTGTAGCACAATATTGTAGGATTGGTTTACAAAAAACTAAGTTACCTATGGTTTTGGACATGCCATAGCACCTCTATCAAGCAACATATATGAGTAAGTTGCTGAAGTATTAGAGCAATTTATTATTGATTTACTACTTATGTTCTGTGTGTTCTGAGTTCAAGAGAATATTAGGAAGTTGTTGGTTTTTTTCTAGTTTTAAATGTAACAGTTGCACCATTCTGCATGGAAAACCATACCCAACATGGCTGCTGTAGACTTAAGTGGTAGCTGGAACAACTCTTGGAGGGCTGCTTTATCATATTTAATTGTACTTGAGTGTAGGACTGTAGTGTTCTTGGGTGTATTGCATGGGCTGCATTATCTACAGCATTGTACAATAACAACTCTAGAAAAGGCAGTATACTTCACTGATGCTTGTCTGGTAATATCACTTCTGTGTTATAATGGAAGGATTTTTTTGTGATGTATGAAATGTGTTTTTTTATATGAACAAATTCACTTTAGACTAGTGATGTGATAATGCCTGTTCTCACCTGTAAATAGTTATGTACGCTAGGCGCTACTCCTGATCTTCTGATTTTTCACTGTGTCAGTTTTAGTTTTCTCCATTAAAAGCATCAGGTTTTTTCTCCTAAGTTTATTTTGGGTTGTTAGACATGCAGACATGTACAGATAGTTCATATTTATGTATTGCACATAGTCATAATACACTATATTGTGTTATGTAAATAATAAAAATTATGTACAGAAGGAAATACTTCCTTTTGTGATAGTTCATTGGTTTTAGTTATTGCTGTAATCAGAAGGTGACCTCGTAGAGGTTGAGGTGCAAAGTTAGTACTAGGTTCTTGCAGACATCTTTTATGCTTAAGCCTGCCTATGTCCTTATTTCTTATTTGCATATACCAACTTCTTTATGATAATTTGCACGAGCACCTAGAATACAGATAACTACTAGATGGCCTGACAGAAATGCCAGCAAACAACAATGTGCTTAAAGGGAGCAAAGGAAAGCATTAGTGATGAACTGTGAAGTTTTTTTTCTTTTGCCTTCATTTCCAGTGGATGTGTTACAACAGAGCCAGTACACTGACTACGTCATTCCATCCACATCTTCACCAGCAGGCCCTGGGCAGAGTTATTGTCTGGGTCAGCACCCAAATCCAGATGTGGAATATGCCAGATTTATACTTGCCAGTGAGAAAGACGGAGCACATGCCACATCTTGCCTTTGGAGGAAGACATCTTCACTGCTGGATAATGCATAGAAATTGCCTGTATCAGAAATGGATTATGTGCATCCCACCAGTCAGATGATACTTATGTGATAAGTTCCTGCTGCATATACCTCCAATAAGGGAATGTGGGCATCCTCTGGGACTTCATTTTTCTAGGATTAATTTTATGACTTCAAAATGGAACTGCTTTAAAGCACCAAAACTATTTTTTTTTACCTTTTGTATTATAATGAAATCAACTCCTCAACTGCAGCATAAATTTCTTTTTTTTCATTTGAACCTAAGGGTGCCCTATAACTGGATATTTGATGAAGAGAATGTGTCTGTATTTGATACTGTCATGGCTAGAGTATTTTAGGACAGGTAACTGTACTGATACTGGCAGTTAATGATTATGATGGCTTCAGTCTTCTTAACTGCTTTTTAATATGAACAAAGGCTATACTTGAAGTCTTGTTGAAATAATTCATCTCAGTAGATCTGTGGAGGGAAGTATAGAATGAAAAATCCCTCACTGTAAAATCATGAACTGTATCATATGTAAATTACTGGCAAGTGGGATATGAGCCTGCACTCAGAAGTGAGTCTGCAAGCTCCACTGAGCTTTGTTCATAAATTTTATCTGGTATTTATAATCATTCAGGAGCCCCAATTCTTTTGATGCTTGCTAAATACTCAAAGGCCAGGAAGTTGTTTTGAAAGAGCTGGCACTGACAAATGTGTGTGGAGGATTTAAACTTGGGTAAATACTGTGGTACAGCTTCCTTGGCAAAAAGTAAGAATTTAAGTGCACAGTCTTTCAGATCTTGCTTCCTGCTGCCCAACTTAGGGACTGGTATAGATGCCTAAAATAAATGGCTGACTCCCATCATGCTGCCAGTCACAGTTTTAATACAGTGGCATTAAAATGCCTTAAGAACAAGAGTACCATCTTTAATGTCTGAACACAAGCCTTTCATAAAGCTGCTGTCATTTGCTCTTTCAGTTTGAAGTGACGAACAGCTTCAAATAGTGTACCCATCTTCCAAGAAGGAAACATGATCACTTCATATGTCTGATCTTCATTTAACATTTGGCTGTCAGACTAAGGTGTTCTTAACTTATACATAAACACAATGTTCTGGGAAGAGTCTTCCTTGGTCCCCAATAAGTTCACCAGATGAACCACTTAGGGAACAAATGGGAACATAAAAACAAGTGTGTAAATGAAAGCAGCAAGGTGACTGAAAACTGGTACTTTTTGAGCTGTTGACTAGCTTGTGTTGTACTTGACTAGCTAGTGTTACGACTCTGCAATACTATGTTCCACAGGAGACTCTGCAAACTTACTGATAGCTACTACTGTTAAACCTGAAATTTGCATATGCATAATGACAGGCTTCCTGTGCTGTTTCCAGCCTGTTGCTGTAGAGCAGATGAGCTGCCATAGGATTTGGTTGTGGTGTATAAGGACGCCATGGGGTCAAGCAGCCCATGGCACTTACCCCTTTGAAAATGTGCTTCTGATAATCAGTTACTCTGACGTGTTTTGGAAGGTTGTTTATTCATAAGTGTAAGGGCTTCTGTCAGACAGTTGCTTGTACTTGTCATGTGTCTTAGTCACTCAAAGGATACTTACTAAGGGTTTGACTCATGGCTGGAGTGAATCAAAGTGCATGTCCTTTTCTCAGCATTCCTAAGCAGCTCTACAGTATCACCTGATTGATGCATGTGCTTGAAGGAGGAAATGCACAGCAAACAGGGAATCAGTTTATTTCAGGTATCCAAGTGTGTTAAGTAGCAATGACTCATAAGAAAATAACTTTTGTTCTCTGTATAGATGTGTGATATTTATGTTTGTTTTATTAGTCTCTCAGTCTGCCCAACAATGAAAGTGCATTTTCTCACCAATGACCTATTAACTGATTCCATTGATCTTTTTCGTCATTAAACACCCGGGAAATTTGATGGACCGTGCTGATTCAGGAGACACAAACGGATCTGGCAGTAAACCTGAAAGTAGCTGGATGGCATTGTAATTACTGGATGACAAACCCAAATGGTTAACGGAGGGGAGCAGTTAGAAAACCTGAGCTAGAAAAATAATGAGTGACTTCCTGTGGAAGTGTAAAAATGTAGTCCAGGAGCCAAGTTCTTTCTCAGTGCAGTGAGGATTAGCTATCACCAAGTGACAGTAATATCTAGCAGAAGAGAGTTTAAAATGCCATTTCACAGCCCTGAGTTACCCAGTGTGCTTCAACCTTTAAATTCCCCATTGTAGTAGTAATTTAGCGATGGCCAAAGAAGAAACAGGGTTTGGTTTGGGTTTTTTTGGGCCAAACTGAAGAAAATAGAGACCATTTCTGCTTGAAAGGGCACATCAGCGAAACAAAACCAAACCAAGGTCCGGATTTCTGACTTTATATTATATAAAGAACTGCTGTCAGTGGAAGAAGCAAGTCTTGGCATGTGGAATGCAAAATAGAGTATCAGTGGCCTGTGATAGAAATTAAATGAAAATTGAGGTATAAAGCTTAGAGATGGCAACAGTGAAATAAATTCAAGGATCAACACCTGCAGTGGCAGCCCAAAACACTGTGGCTAGATTGCATATTTGTGTAGATGCAAATCTGCCAATTAAAAAGTGATTATTGAATTGACTAGTAGCTTCCTGAAGAAGCTTACTAGATGGTGAGATGTAAATGACAGATTTTTATTTTTTAATGCTAATTTCATTTCAGTGTGTGTTTATCTACTGTAAGCTCACAGCCAGTATGGTAGCAATGTTGAAAGTTGAGTTTCTCATGTGAATGTTACTTTGGCTCAAGCCTCCTAAGTAATACCTGTATCTTTACTAAACCTCCTTGTAGTGCTAGCTTTTTTTCTCCCTGTGTCTATAACCAGCTCACAATATTTCTTTCCAAGTAGCAGTAAACCTGGTTGTCACAGTTGTTTCTTCTGTGCCCACAGTCAGGCAGCCTCACCATTACTTGGGTTGCTTATAGGGAAAAATCAACAGTTTTAAAATGCTTTGTTTGGGGTTTTTGTTAGGTTTTTGAGCTTGTTTTG